CCTGTCCTACTAGACAAATATTATCATAACGAAACCCACCAGTGCAAGTGGGAAGCCATGTTGGAAGCAAGTGCGAGGAGGTCAAGAAATTCATGAGCATGGACCTTAAGCCTTAGGGAGCCAGAAGGAGGAGAGAGTGATGGGATGCCCATCGGGTCATTGCAAAGGCCGTCCTCAGTGCCCGCTGCTGTCTGGCTGCTGTGGTCCAGCAATTCACCTGGCTTTTCAGTACTGGCAGTCTGACCTATTTAAGGCTAAATGCAAACTATGCACACGTGCCTTTATAGGAATGTGAATAGTTGCAATCCTTTCCACTTTATCATTTTTAAACCAACACAAAACTGTGGCAAACTCTAGATCAGTAACATTTTCAGATCTACAGCTTGACTTTTAACAGTTTTATAGTAGCAGCTCTTTCTGTGGTAAAGAATGTGTCTTCACGCTCCCAGAAAAAATATCAAATATTGCATAATGTAAAATCCATGTAGTCAAATTAAAATTAACACCTGGTGCCAAATAACTGTTTTGAGAGCACACATGTTTTAATATTCAGTTTGAGTAGAAAAGCTTACACCTTTCAGAGGAGATCCATTATACTCTCCATGGATTAGAATGATATACAGCGTTTAGAGAGCTACATATGTGCCCTTTGCAAGGCTACGCTGCATATCCCAGGGCATTTGAGGCGTTACACAATAAAGTTAACCCTGAGCCTATCTCTGCTGGGTAATGGCCTACACCTGCCAGACATCTAGGGAAAAAATAACAATATGATACTTAGATGGGATTGCTTTCAGAAGGCCTCTCATTTTTGCAGAAGATATTTCAACATGCAGACAGCAACATTTGTAATTCAATCCTGCTGACTAGCAGAACTGAGCATCAGAACTATTTTTAAAAGAAGCTGTTGCATGCTGTTTTTCAACTCAAGTTATTACAGTCTTAATTTGCCATATTATGCATAAACGAAGCTACAGTCAAGTCTTCTTACTGAACACTAATACTAGCTGATGGCAATGAAAGCATATTTAAAGAAATTATTTTAATGTTCATGGACCTAAGTGATCACACTGACTTCCAGTATAAAGGATATATTAATTAATATAGTCATTAATTAATTAACTGTTTATTATTATCTTCATGGAAGCACTTTGAGCTATGCTGAAAGACCCCATACTTTTTTTGTTTTTCCTCTTAAATAGAGGGACATAAATATTGTGTTTGCTTTGAGAAGGATGTCTGGGGTTGTGGTTACTGACAATGAAGGTGATTCTCAGAAGGGTTATTTGTAAGAACGTCAGAAGAGCCACATGGGTTTCAGTGAAGGGTACGTCTAGTTCAGTGCTCTGTCTCCAGCAGTGGTGACAAGTGGATGCCTAGGGGCCCAGGCAACATGCCTAATACCTTCTGCTTCAAGCCTCCAACTATTTTCCATTCTGGGGATTTCCTGAGCTATTGGGTTTTGCCTGTTTAGCTCTTTCCATGGAGTTTCCCTTTGAACGTGTATTCCTCTTGCATTCACATCCTTTGACAAGGAGTCCTGTAGGTCATCACATATTGCTAGGAAATCTTACTCTTTTGTTTGCTTTGAACCTGACTCTCACTTTTGTCTTTCCATGGTGTTTAATACTTTTATTACAAGAGTAAAAGGACAGTCTCTACCCATTCATGATTCTGTATGTCTTTTTCATAGCACATCCACACCTACCCCACTCAGTCGTTGTTCATTACAGCCTTTTGGTCATCTTTGTCATCCTTCTCTGAACCTTTTCCCATTTTGTCATACTTTTTCTGTAATGAGGCAACCAGAACTGCACAGAGAATTCAAGGTTCAGGCAAGCCATGAATTTGTACAATATCAGGATTTGTTCTCTAATACTTTTCTAATAATTCCTAATTTTTTATTTGTTTTTTGGACTACTGCTGAGCACTGAGATCACGTTTTCATGGAACCATCTATCATATACTGCTTTAAATTCATCTTCTTTGTTGTATTTCACCTGCCATTTTATTGCCTTGACACACTGTCTTGTGAAGTCCTTCTGCCATCCTTCATAGTCTGTCCTCATCCTTCTCACCTTGAATACCTTCAGATCATCAGAAATCTTTGTCACTGGACTGCTCAACCACTTTTCCAACTCGTTTATGGGTATATTGAACAGTATGGAACCCAGCATAGACGCCTTGCAGAACACCTCTGGTGACTTCTCACTATTGCAAGGACTGACCATTTACTGCTAAAGTCCGTTTGTTCTCTTTTTGTTAATTATTTATCTGTGCAAAACCTTCCCTCGCTCCCATCTGCTTGAGTGCAGGCACATCGATACGTTTTCGTTTCTCTTATGCTCTGGAGAAATGCTTAGTTATTAAATTCATTATTAAAATGTAAAAAAAACCCAACACCACCCCTCAAAAAAAAAAAAAAACAAACAAGAAACAAACCATCACTTTATAGTCTTTGTAAAGAGAAATCCTTTTGTACTACTGAGCCACTTCCATGGTAGAAGTAGCCCCTGTATGGTGGTGTGTCCATAGTAGATTAAAGACACAGTGTACGCATACCAGCCCAGTCCCAAGGAATAAAAATCAGAGGCTTCCGAGAATGACGCTGGAGTCCTAAGTAGCCTCTTCTTCTTGCTGTAGAAGCTATCTTCAAATTGCGTTTTTCAGGATTATGTTGGATAAGAGTAAGATAGGATTTCAAGGACCAGGCTGATGTGTGCAAAAACCACACAGTTATATAGACCAAAAAGAGCATTTTTGCATCTAGTATCTGTTACAGCAGTGCTGGAGGCTGGTAGATTAGTTCTAAGCAAACTCCAGACTTTTATTCTGTAGTCCCAAAGGAGTTAGGAAGTGTAATTTGAGCTCCCTGTATGTCACGAGGTCAAAGTCTATTCACTTGGACTTTGAGCAGGTGATTTGACTATCAGCCTCAGTAAAATAAAGGTCGGTCAGTGTTTAAGGCACCGAATATTTTTTCCAAGATAGCAGAGATGGTATCCAGATTTTCATGTAGTGCTCTGAGGTTGCAACACAGATGTGTTTAAAGGGTTAACACTGTGGCTCAATCAGAAAGAATACTTGGCAATAAGAGGAAGCCTGGATTAATGATAGAAAAGAATTCTTAGCATTTTATAGCAGTGGGTATTCGAGATGAGACATGGCTAATGATCAACTAAAAAGGTATTTGCAGCTGTGGTGCTACCTCTCCCCGTAATGCCAACATTAATCAAGCTTTTTCATGCAGCTTTGCAGTCCATTCTATTTTTCATTGTCCTGAATATAAAAACAGAGCTCAGGCCCTAATACATTGAGTCAGAGACCATACTTCTGTGTCACCGAAAATGATCAGACCTTATTGATTTCTAAAAGCTGCACTTTCTGTACTGCGAAACAAACCCATAGCAAAGGCTTTAACAAAGCTAGTTTCACTTTAAAGAAAAAAAGATCTCTTGTAACACCACACTGTAAATACCTCTCGGATGTGAAGTAGTTATTGCCATGAATTAACTGCTCATATATTTTATTTAAGTCTTCAATTACAACAAAACTTCAGCTGTAATTACAGCATCTCTAAGACTAGTTTTGGAGTGAGCCATCTTGTTGAAAGACCTTGGCAGTGCGAAAAGCCCGTGAAATCGTGTAAGTCAATGTCCTAGCTGTTCTGATGCTGCCTTCGGAGTCAGAAGAAAAGCTTCATTATAGTGAAAAATTAAAGATTTGACATACAAGTTATTTCCAGAATGGCTTCAATCTTTTTAAATAATGAGCCCTATTGAATCTCAACTTCTCAGCAAATGTTGATTATCTAAATTCCTTAAGTAAACTTCACATGATGCAGCTTTTGAAACATGAACATGATCTTCTCTCATGTAAACAATCCTCTGCCTTTGTTGCCTGATGCTATCACATTTGGGTGCACATCCTTCTGGACTGTGGGCCCAAGCCTATAAAATCTCACTATCGAATATCCACCCCAATCTGCAGATGCTTTATGCCTGTGCTTAACAGCCATGACTCATCCCATTAAAGTCAACAAAGTTACAGTAGTAAAGTTAAGCGTGTGTTTGCAGGAATAGGCCCAAATTCTCAGAAGTATTTAGGTAACTCAAGATGCAGAGAGATGACTAGTGGGGGAATTTCATACTGGTGTGACTAATCTCCCTAAGATCTCCTAAAATCAATAGAGCGAGAGAAGGCTCTTGCAAAGGGGCTTCAGGACAACTAAATTAGGCTCCTGTTTTGGAACGTCTTTCAGAGAAGCCTCCAGCTCTCCCTGTCATTTAAGAGGTGCTTCAAGTGCTCAGTTCCGGACACCCGGCTCCTGCAGAGGAATCAGCAGAAGCCAGACCTGGAGGTGCCCAGTCACGTCTTGCAAAGAGCCTGTCTGCAGCAACAGCCACCTCACCAGCTCTGGGCATCGAGGTCCATGCGCCCGTAGCTCTGCAGAGCTGCTCACAGCGCTACCTGCGCCCGCCATAGCTTTGCACTCTAGTGGCCCCACCTGCAGCAAGACCAGACACTATTGACACAGGGCAACATTTACTTTTCAAACTGAAGGGCCAAAGTGAAAATAAATGGAAAAATTTTTGACTTTTGAAGGCCTGGAGTTTTAAGATTCTTTTAAATAGACGTTGTCAATAAAATTCTTCCTTCTTAAATGCACAGGGCTGTCTAAATGACCTGTCTTCATTTTGTACGGTTGATTTATCAATCCTTGAAATTAAAGGACTAGAAAACATGCAATGACTCCTTCGTATTTTATTAAATATGATGTATTTTGAGGATCCTCCAACAGCAATAATTTTGCTGTGTTGAATAAAGTAGTTTTTATAGCGCTTTAATCAGATCATGATGGAACATTATGCAAAATATTATGCAATGTAATGCAAAGTAATTAATGCAAGCAGAGAAGTGGCAGAAACGTGAGACCGCTGAGCAGCATGCATTTGTGTCACTTGCTGCCTGCTGATTTTCCCAATTTCTTTCTTTCTTAGATAGTGGTTTCCCGTTCAGAACTCACAGCTCCACATGTCAGCTTTCAGCTAGACTCCCACCCCGTCTCTCCCCAGGTTGTTGTTGAGAATTCTGTAGCAGATGATGGCTATACCCTGGTAGTGACTGGCAAAAAGGTGAGTGGTTCATAACCTAATCCTTCCGTGCGCTGTATAAACCTGCCATCAGAGCAGCAACTCTCAGTAAGAGCAACTGTTCACACTGCTGCCTTACGCTTTGCATCCTCCCAGCCTTGCCATTCCCTTGGGAACACTGGAGGTGCAAGTTTCCGCCAAGATTTTTTTTTTCCCTACTAAACAAACCAACGGCCTAATATTGAGAAATGTTTAAATAACGTAAGAGCTGTGATATAAACCAACAAAAGCCAGGAAATGCAAATTTCAAGGCTGAAACCCTGTCCTTAATTCAAGTGCTGGCAAAGAAAAAACACACAATGGCTTAAGGAAAGAATGGTGCTCACAGTTTCCTGGCTTTTGTTGGTTTATGTCATAACATAACTTTTTAAGGAGGGGTGTGTGTGCAAGAGTTACATGAGTATGTTTAAAATTGGGAGTCAGTGTCTGTAGTAAGGTTTGAAGATTGCTTTAGCATATAGTCTATACAGGGTTAATAAAAGATGAAGAGCTGTCACAAATATGCTATTGTCATAAGTAGATACGCATTGTAGAATGGGTTTAAAGCATCAGCAGATAATATTACAGATAATCCTAAACCGTAATCGTAAGCAATAATTTGACCTATTGAGTTCTATAAGAATTTATGTAGGCCATTAGTAAAGATGGTTGTTAATCATTTACTGGCAATGTACAAGATATTTATAAGAGTAATCTTCAAGAAAATGTCCAAATAAGTTTAAGGAAGGTACTGAAGTGTAAAGAAGTATGATGTACTTATACAGCAATGCAATTATATCCTAATTTTAATATTTTAACTAAAAATCAAGGCCTACTGAGATACACTGTTTTTTCCAAGAACTAGTGCAGAATTGGGAGGAGCACGCTGCTGTTTTCTTTTTTCATCAGCAAAAAACCGCTATCTGGCTGTAAACACCAGATGCTGGTAGTAACTGTATATAACATTAAGATGCCTTTAGGGTTTCTCCCAAGCGAATTTAAAATCATGTCAGTTAAATTACTTATAAGATCCTATAATTACTGAGCTAAAGAGAAGTCGAACCGCAGCTTGCGCATCTGAAACCTGAGCAGCACCGCAGCGCATCGCATAAATAAAGGCTCTCCGTGCCGCTCAGCGCATGTATTAAAAGGATCCGTGCGCGATGTCTTTCCACCGACAGGTAACGAAGATCCCGCTGGCGGGGCCGGGCTGCCATCACCTCCG